TCCTTACTTCTTCCTATTTAACCCTCCAGATGTAACTATCAGAATGAAAACTCATGGCCAACTCCCTTGGGCCTGCCGATGTGGATTTAGCTGTAGTAGACATTAGTTGGGACATTTATACTAATCTAAGTCTGTGTATATTGGTAAGAGCATGACCACCACAGAAGAGCTGAGTCTAAATAGTGCCTCTACTATTTACTTGCTGTACAATCATGATCCAGATGAATGATTCTGTGAGCTTATTTCTTCTTTTCACATGAACTATAGATACACATATTTTCAAGGCGATTACATAAAATCATGTGTGTAAAATGTCCAGTAAGTTGTAGAAATGCATTGAAATCCCTACATTAATTTGTTTTTAGAGAAAAATGTAGATGTTGTGCTCATATTTTTTGGTTCCAGATTCATTGGGATTTTCCAAATTACTACTTTAAATATGAAGTCAATCTTACAAGACTATAACAGGACTTAAAAACATTTATAATCCTCACTGGGATTGGGAAGTACTGTGTAGCAGCAATGAGTAAAAACTCACACACACTAAGAAACTCATATTGAACTTATTACAAAAACGATGTCAGATCACTAGGAACCATGTTTTCTGCAAAGCGTTCATGATAAAATTACGACAGTTATTTTAACTTTAATCAGTGTGCACCTAGTTCTTCTTATAGCAAAAGGCAGCAGATTTATTTGGGATGCCTGCCTGCCAGGTAGAGAAGAAAAGCAAGGAATTTCTGCACCTGCCTGCAATCTATGCCAGCTCTCAGCACACTTTCTGCCCTGGCCTCAGGGATTAGGACTGCAGCCTGGCTGTCTCCTACTCTTACGGCAGCCACAGTAAACTTTCCAAAATGCAACCTGAGCGAATCAATCTCCTACCCACTGCACTTAGCATGAAAGGAAAACCCCCTAGGTTAGCATATAGGGCCCTTCACCACCGGTTTCCAGTCGAACTTTCCTGTTTTATCACTGCCCCTCATAATCTTTGCCCTGATGTCCTACTCCCCCCTCTTGATTGTGGTGGTTGTTTTTTCTGGGGGGCGGGGGGCTTGCTCTTCTTCCACTTCCCTTTACCTAGTTTAGGCTAATCCTGCCTCTTTCCTCATTGCTTCCCTGTCCCCCTCTCCTCATCTGCATGACCTTCCCCCAGCTCTGGGTTAGTTGTTTTCTTTCACAAGGGTATGCTCAGTTCTCAGATAAGATTTATTTACACTGTGAAGAAGTTGATGCCCTTTGAAATATACATGCAGTCTTTTGGGAGTAGCATAATTTAAACTGCTGGTGTAAAATGCTTGGGTCTTGCAGAGTTTAGGACTTCAGACTGGCCAAGCAAAAAGCCGTTTCTGTTAGGATGTTGGCACATTTTGCAACAGGCTCAATCTCAACGTCCTTGTGTTCCGAACAGTCTGAGTCTTAACATCCTGTTCCCTTCCCCTTGCACAGGTGCTCTGAGAATACAGCCCATTAGCTTCTGTGAGCCCCAGGGGGTTTACTTGTTTTGTTTTTAAATTTTTTTAAATTAAATTTATTGGGGTGACATTGGCTAATAAAATTATATAAGTTTCAAGTGTACAGTTCTATAATATATCATGTGTCTATTGCATTGTGTTTATCACCCAAAATCAAAAATTTCAAGTAAAATCACGGCTGAAAATTGTCAGGTAACATCCCAAAAGTTCTCACGTGAAGAGGCAGCTAAAAAAGTACCATTAATGTATTAAAAAGGGAAACTTTTTTTTTCCAGTTCTGTTTAAAAAAAGATCACTGATGTCAGAGACCTGCCTCACCTTAACAGAAACATAATCAGAAATATATGTGACTAGGTTGTCAAGGCTAAGAAAGTGCTAGAATAGCATTGAGTGAGCTAAAAATATAATTTAAGAATCCCTATAATGAAGAAGATAGAGGAAAGGTAGCTAAAAAGTGGAATATCTGCATCTCTATTGCATAATTTCTTTTGTTTATGTCATAATTTAAAAAAAAAATAGAGTATAACTATTTAAAATAGTCTGCTTATTAACCATTGACATAATGTGATCTTGAGAAAAGGCAGAAAGCCAACTTAAAAATTCACTGGAGTGACTATCCTGCATTTTCTTTATTATGAAAAAATTAATTTTGATCTTGGTTTTTAAATCACCTACCACCTTTCTGGAAATTAATCAGTAGAAGTGTACGTTGGAATTGTTTATTTACTGGCCTGTTTCCGCTAGGCACTGGAGCCTCATGGTAACAGGGGCTCCCGTCTTTGTCATTGATCTAGCCCCTCGCCAAGCCCACTGCCTTAAGAATACTCGTATAAATGGAAAGAATACTCTCTGAACCAAAGCTACATGATCTTCAACAGAAATTTTTGCAAAATTACATCCCTCAGCTTCAAAAGCGGGAAAATAAAATTATCAGATCTGCACTGTCAACATCACCCACTAAGTTGATTACAGTTGGAAAGTATTAGGCGATATTATGGGATGATAAAAAGGAAGACAACGAAAGAAAAGGTTTTAAATAGAGATAAAACCTATAGAATATGTATTACTATACATGTATATTTTTATAATGAAATATATTTGTTACATAACAAAATATTAAAATATTTGTTATGATTAGTATAGATCTCAATCTCTATTAGAAACTTATAAGAAGTTGCACAGGCCTGGCCAGTGTGGTTCAGTTGGTTGGAGTAGCGTTCTGTAAACCAAAAGATTGCAGGTTCAGTTCTGGTAGGGCACATACCTAGGTTGAGGGTTCGATCCCTGTAGCTAGTAACTTTGGGCAACACTACCCATTTTCAGCGCTTTGTTTTGGTGTTCGTATGTGAAGCAACCAGTCAATGTTTCTCCCTCTCTCTCTCTCTCTCTCTCGCTAATCAAACAAACACCCATCTGTTGGAGGTGACTCCTTTCCCACCCTGCTCAGGGGTGACTTCCAAAACTTTCATGTAGAGTGACACCAGATTTCATCAAGGACACCTTAATTGTTTTAGCTGTTCAGATAAATCAAATCAATATATTATGGGAGCATCAGGAGTAGGGAGAAGAATTATATTTTGGAAAACAATTCATGGGAAATTAAGTCAAGTAGCCAAGAGTTTTAGAAGTGCAAATATGTATTGATTGGGTTTTCAATAAAACACTATTCATGTGGACAATAAGGGGGGCAAAGTAACAGGGACAAAAATTTTTTTTTTTTAGTTTAAAAAATAAAATTAAAAGGAAAGAACACAGATGGCAAGGGGAGTACTTTTATATTAATTTACATTTACATCATATTACATTTGAGTAAGGTGACTTTCTCCATCCAAATAATTTCACCTACTTTAAACCATTAAGCCAGCAATTTTCAACCAGCGTGCCTCAAGAATTTTTAGAACATGCAATACCTGACTAATTTAGTCAGGGGCACTGACCTCTTTTCTCTTAGATTGTCAAATAAAAAAAAAATGACAACAGCCAACGCAACAAGAGCTGTCAGGTGTAAATGAAACAAAATTATACCTTTTTTTTTTTTTTTGTAGGATCAGCAAAAAAAAAATTTTTGTGTGTGCCACAGAATTTTAGAAATTAGTTTATGTGTGCCATGAGATGAAAAGGTTGAAAATCGCTGCATTAAGCTATTGGAAAAGACCCATCTGGGCGGTTGGATGTACTCTTTCTGCATCTCTTTAAGGGAGGAAGGCGAGGAGGCAAAGAAGAAAGCTTAATGCTTTTCTTTGGGGTTCGCAGAAGGGTCGGCAGCAAGCTAACCAGACGCTGTCAGCTCTCTCTTCTTTCCTTGGGCCGGTCTCCCAGCGCCCCTGCATCCACTAGGATTCCCTGGGAGTGGGCTGGCGAGAGCAAGGCCCTGGAGGCTGGGCTCGAAGACCTGGGTTCCCATGCCACTCTGTAGCTAGCAACAATACCCATTTTCAGCGCTTTGTTTTTATTATTTAGGTAACGGCAACAATAAATCATATGGTATAAGGTTGCTGTGAAGATGCGACAGGCCCGCGTATGAAAAGCCCTTTAGAAACTGCCAAACTCTCCTCAGAAGTTACTCTCTCCTCCGAAAAGGGCACCGGCTGTTTCCATTGTATAGGAGGCTTCTCGCAAAGGGGCTTCTTGACACTTTCAGGCAGAACTTGACCCTGAGCTTCATCTCGTTGTGAAGCAAGAAGGCTTTGGTGCCCCACACCAGCCCGGGCAGGGTCACCCACGCTGCGGGGGCCGCCCTGCGGCGCTTCACCCGAGCTCCCGCGGCCCCCCGCGCCCTCCCACGGGTCTCGGGCCCAGGGCC